GAAGTTCCATGAAAAACGAAAAGGTGTAGTATTGAAGGTAGAAGTTGAAGTTGAAAGATCTACAAAGTGTGAGAAGTAAGTCCTGAATTCGCCCTATAACTATTTCTTTCAAAACAGTTTATGTATCTAAGAAGTTCGAAAGGCATGCATCGTCGGAAGTATAGTTATTATAATTAGGAATTGAACTTTAGAAGCATGCACGTCAAATAGCCTTGAGTAGTGAAAGTCAAAAGAATATAGAGAATAATTTGTTATGATGGGCTTTAAGAAACTTGCGCAATTGTCAGCTGGATTCTCCATAGGATTCCGAGCAGAATGATATATGGATGTTGGGGGTTTCGTTGAGCAGGAGCCGAGGTAGGCCACCAGAGCAAATGCCCCGTCGGCTCTGGTCGTTCTTTGCCGCCAAAATTGCACACTCTCCACGCAACCAAGCGTCTTCGGGCATTTGGCTCTGGTGCCTTTTTCTCCGTTATTTGCAAACTAATGTAAGCAAATCGCATATCATTATGAAAACCTTGAAACGTAAAATTGAACATACAACTGCGCAACATTCAACTTTTTGGTTTTAGTGAACGAAATAAGAAAAACCGTATTTTTTGTTACCTGCGATATCCAAGCCAAATTGAAGTTTTAATTCCTCACTCTTTCGATAGGAAATCTTATTCACAATACAGCTGACAACTGCGCAACTTTTAGTTTCAAATATCCAGCGAATTATTCTAAAGAACACACCAAAAAACCCGTATTTCTTTTTACGACTTTCTGTAGATTTTTTGCGACCAGACTATTTCAACCTTAAGGTCATTTCGTTCACAATCTTGCGCTATAGAACGTAGACAACTGCGCAACTTCCAAAAATCATGAATTTGAGAGAAAATTTAAAGGAAACATGCGAAAATGACTTTTCTTTTGAAGTCGTTCTCTACTCAGATATAAGAAGAAAGATTCTACTTTCAGTCTCATTCTTAGTGCTTAACTTTACTGTTTGAGAACGCTACCATGCATCTCACGTGACCACTCTCGTAGTCCCGTAAATCTCTTTGTTTTTCTCCGCGTTTCGGCCGCTTTCCGCCCTTTGTTGATCCCAAAAAGAAAAGTATGCAATTAATGCGCAAGAGTTCAAAATTCAAATGACTGCCCAGGGATGTAAGAGTTGCCTCAAACATGTTGAAACACGTTGTACCATGTCAATATTGTTCACAATTTCACTTTATGTAAAAAGACGACTCTAGTTCCACAATTTTTTTGGAGGCAAAAAAAGGAAGTGGAACAAAGACTGAGTGGAAATGTTTGAAGGAAGTGTTATGTCATTTCTGCAACATTTTC